CAGACGTGTGCTCTTCCGATCTCCCCAAAACCCCAAAACCCCAAAACCCCATCAGGTTGAATATAATTATGAAAGAAGCTAAATAAATAAATAATTCTGAAATAAAATTATGGCAACTATAAGAGCAGGCAACTAAATCACAGCGTAAGCGTTTTAATTTGATTAATTAATCTATGACCAGTTCAAGCAGAAGTAAAAGTATCACTGAAGGAGAGTTTAGATCACCTAATGCCTTAAATGGAAAAGTAAGAGATTCATGATTAACAATATTAGTAGTTTGATCCTAACTTTCATCAGCCACCAAGGATAGATGTGTTTGGGTGGAATTTACAAGCTAAGAAGAAAATGGGTGAGGATCCGTAAAACGCTCTATCCTAGAATGTGAGAATCCCAGAATGGTGGTCCAAACCAGGCATTCCAGAGGAATAGAAACTTACTAGAACTAAACTGACTGACAATAGAAGAGGTGAGAAGGTTCCTCATATCAGTTATGATCTTGACGGAGATGGATTCGTTGGTGGCAGAGACTATGTAATTGCTAAGTAATTCGATAAAGATGGAGATGGTAGACTAAATACTAATGAAAAGAAAGCAGCACTTGATGCCCTTCAAAAGGTAGCTTATTTATTATCTTAATTTATTGCAGGGATATGAAACCAATTTCGTTTGGAACGTAGAAGTTTCAGGTGGATAAAGACCTTACAGACTTCTTCAAAAGAGAGGAGTGATTGTTGATGCTGAAGATTTTCTTCCAGTTGGACAAACTTACCCAGTGCATCCAGATACTCTTAAAAAAGCTTCTGTCTCAAATATTGCTGAACTTAAGGATAAAAGAAAGAAAGACTACTTGTAAGTATAAATTCATATTAAAAATGCTGTTTATAGAGATTCAATATATGATTAGAAGAAAAAATGGGAGGCTGCGAATCCAGTAGCTATTGAAATGTCTTATATCAAGAGTGAGTTTCTAATAGACTAACCAAAATTCACTTCAATCAATCAAAGAAAAGAAGAGGAGAGAAAGGAGGCTAGAAAGAAAGCAACTCTTGAACCCACAATCACTCAAGTCAAAGATACATCTAAAGACCCAACAATTAAATTTGTTGAAAACCCTAAGGTTTATTCAAAAACGCTTCTTGACAATTAAAGAAAGGAAGAGATGCTTAATCAATTGAAGAAACTTGAGTCTAATATTGGAAACTACAAAGATATCAAGGGCAGACTAGAGGATAGAGAGGCATGTTATCTCAGATTAGGCTATAAGGAAACAGACGGAAAAACTAAATAACTGATTGAGGAGGAGAGAAAAAAGCAAATGATTGACAACATGACTTAGAAATTCGGGAGTGTCACTGTTGGAATTCATGGATAAGAACTTCCTAAATTTGGAGAGACTGAATAAACAAAGGAATTCTGGAAATTTGCCCAAACCTTTTAGGATTAACCTTAATGGAATTCTCAGCTTGAAATGAAAGAGAATGCCAAATTCTGGGCTAAAAATGATGATATAAGACTTGCTGATGTGTAGCAAAACCATGCCCCCACTGATCCATTTAAGACTTAATACGCACCAAAACAATAAAAGAATGAAGTCATTTCAAAGGTCCATACAATCAATCATTGGAAAAAGGATGAAAGCGAGTAATTCCTTGAGCCTCAGTTTACTAAGGGATATACTAAGGCAGTTAAATGGACAGAGCAAGAGAGATTCTACAGATGTAAGGGAGATGATAGATTGTTTGACAAGGTTATCAAGACTGCTGTGAACTATGAAAAGAATATTGAGGAGGCTGAGAAGAAATAGTAAGATTTTCTCAGATAAAGCCCCAACAAGATGATTGGCAACAGTTCAAACATAAATAATAATAACGCTGATTCAAGCAGAGTGAACTAATCACATTAAAAGATTAACGACAACGATTTAAGTCATATGGGTAACGACATAATCAAGATCAATCCAAAGACTAAGGATCCTAATCCAATAGATGTTAGTATGTCTCAAGGTAATTAGACAAGATAAAACTTCAGTAATTTAGCCGGCAATTAAACTCTCCCACTGGGTTAAAGTGCACTAGCTCAAAGCCAGCAAAACCTTACTGGTTTATCCTTTGTTGGTAAGTCCACTCTTTTCTCAAGAGTAGCTTTGAGTCCCTAACCTGAAAACAACAAGAAGAATATAAATAAGAATGCTAATAACAACTCAATTGCCTAACAAAATGGTGCTAGCATGCTTGCCTCTAACAACTAGAGCACAACCATAAACAACACAAGTCTCAGTAAGACTATGAGAAGTGCAAACAGCACCTTCAAGGATACCGTGCAAAGAGGAGTCCTCTCGGGTATCGGTCTGCTTAAAAAATGAAATGGATGATTAATATTATTCTTAACTTCAGAAATCAAGTAATATTTATAATTCAAATTTATAAGATACATGGGGTTTTGGGGTTTTGGGGTTTTGGGGTTTTGGGGTTTTGGGG